CGGGCCGGTTCCGGCCCAGGTCGCCGGACTTACCGGCCCAGGCAGACCGTTGTCGCTGTGCGCCGCCATGGCGGTGCATTTTCGCGTCCAGCCATGCATGCTGCGGCTGCCATTTTGATTTTCAAAATGGTGGCCGCGACATGTACGGCGGCGGTGGCTGCGTGGGGGGGGGCATTCCCCCCCGGCCCAGTGGAAAGGAGGACTTCGGAGGACCAGCCCAGACGTTAGAAAGGTTGCCTACTCCTGATCTATATATTTACAGTGGCAAAATGCCACTGTTAATAATTAGGTTGATGTTGTTGGTAGTTTACAAATGCAGGAGTAGCTGCCTTCACCATTGAATTTCAAAGTTGGGTAAATGATACTGATGGGACTTTCATGGTAATACTAATTTATTAGGTCAACCAAAATTGCACAAAAGTAGTGATAGCTTTCAAAAACTTAAGTTTTCTTCATCAGGCAAAGGTGTTTGTTTTTTAAATCTGGAAATGACAGTGTTGCAGTTTGAATCTCCTTGAGAACAAAAAACAAAACAAAACTTTGAAGCCCTATAACTGAATGTTTTATGGCTTTATGGATTCTCTTTCCAGTAAAGTAAGGGCTAGGAGGTGGCGGTGGGATCCTAAATTGAACCAATATGTTCGTCACGCACAATCTGAAGACGATAGGTAGATATCTCACAACAGTTCTCATTTTCCCTCTCCAACCCTTGCATGCTTTTGAAAACTATTCTTGCCTGATGTTTTCGGAAGGGAGCACTGAGATTTTTGCGTAATTAAAGTTGGCCTAATATGGCATCACTGTAAATACAGCATCACCCCAGACTTGGGGATTTGGGGATCTATAGTTTCCCACAGATTTTATTTTCCTCAGACTTGTTTCCGATCCATGGCCACTCCCACCCATGCAAACTGCTCCTTGCAATTTGACACAATATGGCCCTTAACGCTAGTGCAGTCTTTGAAACCTCATGGCACAATACAGCCATTGCCATTTGCGGTGCAAAGCTGTTCCATTTTGGGTTTGGAGCAGAAATAAGGAAGATTTTACCACTTATATTCTAAGAAGGTGGTTGTTCATGAAAGTTTAGGCTCAATAAAATATGCTACTGGTAAGTATTAAAGGCCCCATAAAACTAAAGAGAGGCAGTGTGGCATAGTGGTTTGATCATTGGACTATGTATCTGGAGACCAGGGTTCAAATCCCAGCTCAGTCATGGATTTGGCCAAGTCACACTCTCTCAGCCTCAGGATGGCAATGGCAAACCCCTTTTGAAGATACTTGCCAAGAAAACCCCTGTGATAGGTTTGCCTTTGGGTCACCATAAGTCCAAAACGACTTAGAGGCACACAACAACAAGGGCCCACAAAACGTTTTGCCAAGGGATCTTGCAGCCCCTTTGAGACTCACTGAAAGAGAGAAGCTGGGAGCATGAGCTTTTCTAGAACTGAGCCCACTTCCAAACTTGCATCCATCCTCAGGAGTCCCTGTTGCCACTGTGGAAGTGGGCTCAAGTCTAGGAAAACTCATGCTCCCAGCTTCTCTCTTTCAGTGAATTTGCACACTGATTCCCCAGACTAAAACGGCTGCGTCTTAGAACAAAACTTTGTGGAGATTATTGCACTACACTCTTAAAAGCATT